CCTCTACAATATCGTGTAATTTAAAAATTATCAGCTACTGACATCAATTATTCACTGCAGTTCCTCGATCAGATAAAAAAAAACCACAAATCTAATTAGAATTTCCATTCGACAAGCCGAAACAAGATTATAAATAGGTAAAAAATCAATAACAGCTCGAGTATACGACTATTTCGCACGTAATAAGGAACTCTCCATGTATTAAAGCGAAACGACCTACGACATAGAGCTCGTGACACCCGCGAGAGCCGCGTTTAAGACTTAACATCGTCATCGTCTGGACACGTGAAACGCGTATCGTTACGAAGCAGTCGTTCGACGCGTTTAATTAAACGCCGGGTTAATGATCGACCGGGAGTGGAATTCGCCGCGTGTCACCCACAAATTACAATGGCTCGATGAGTTTATGTAAGGGCCAGTTTGTGTTCCGGTCATTAAGCATTATTATAACGTGCCCAGCGGATCCATTACGCTATCTCTGTGCTTTGATTACAATTTACCCCATAATTATCACCATGACCAATCTACGGAGCACGATGAATAATTGTTTTGCGAAAAGCATTATACTTTTTTGATATTGTTGATACTCTTCAGAAATGTTACATGGACACAGCAGGTAATCCTATTCTGGGGGAGGGGGAACAATGTTTTATGCAGATTGCAGAAGAGATGCGAAAATATTTGCCCTGCGGCAATCGTGACCCGATCGAAAAACGACAATGCGCGATGCGATGATAAAACATTCCATTAAACTTGGCTATGGGAAAATCGAACGCCTGCCATCTTTTCATCGATTACTTTTATTTAGCGATAAAACAAAATTGAGAAATTGTACATATTGAATTTTGGAATTGGATTTTTGAAAACATCGAATGATGGCCACGGATTTAAAACACAATTCCTATGTTTTTCTATCACGAATGAAATACTGCCATCCGCAGATTTTTCGTCAGTTCGTAAAGATTCGTTAAGTTCACGCCGGTGAATATTTCTTCTTAAAAATGCGTCGACCTACAGTAAAATATTTTCCCATTCACAATTCCCAACTCGACTAGAGGAACACGCGGAGTCGTCCATATTCCATAGGAATCGCAGAGAGGTGAGATCCAAGGTTCAACAAACCTCGCGAAGAATTTGTTTGACGGCGTGTCAACGATTCCCATTATCGTCGATCCTTATTTGCTCTGTCAATAACGAGTCGGCGAGGAATCTCGCGGTCGCGAACAGTCTGGGGAACAGGATTCCTGGCGAAACGCGAGACGCGGATCGCTCGCAATAATCCCTCGACACGAGGCTATAGTAAATCAACGAGACCTGGAGCACAACGCTGGCCTCGATACATGGCTTCCCTCTTTCACGATTTTTCGCTATTATTCAACTATTTATCACGATCGCGACAGTGATTTATATCGCGATATCGCGCGGGGCCATCTACTTTTTTCAATATGCGCGAAAGTGACATTTTTATCGGCTAAACCGAGGAAACGATCAAAATTGAAACGGTACTTGATTGATATTTGTGATGTCCACGTTTAAGACAGAAGATCTGACAATTGATTTGCATCATTATAAGTACAGGGTGGTACAGGTACACCTAAATGTAGACACCTAAATAACTTCTGATATTTAGGTGATATGTAGATGGGCCACCCTGTGCAATAGTATGTATTATTCATCTAGATTTTTATTAGTTGTTCTTGTGTCATATTAAACATTATATGAGCCATTCCATTAATTATTACTTCAACTGTTGTAACAATCATTATATGCAATATGCTATTAGTTTTAATTATAATATTTATGTACGATGCAGACGAGTTAAACAGCGAGTCATATTCTTTCATGAGTGTCAATAAGTGTCCTGACCTAGTAATTGTAGAATCTGACTGGCAAATTTTCGTAATGGGAGCAATTTTCTACAGACAGGAGGAATACAATGGAACAACGTTGGCACAGGGAACGTTGGTGCAAGGAATACAAGGTTTATGATTATCGTCGAATTCCAGGCGCGATAAAAATCCGACTTTCCGTGCCAGTGAATTGCAAGACGCGTTTCAATATTCTCCCGAAGTATCGCTGTTTGCGAAGCAATCAGGAAATAGCATAGCTCGACGAAAAATGGTGAATAATTCATATCGATGCTATCACTATAGCCATGCACGATAGTAACTTTTAAAGTTATGCCAATTCTGTCTGCGTGACGCACAGACCGCAGTGATGTAAGTGCAATTCTGTGATTGCGATTATCGGTATAAGGAAAACCTAATGACTCGGATAATTGCTGTTTCTCGTTTTGCGTTATTTCGTTCCTGTCGCCGTTTCTTTTTTTTTTTAAGAGACGCAATGGAAGCGGAACTGGTCGAAAAATTGCCGCTTGGACAGCAGCGAGTACCTCCCTCCCGGGCCCGAACAATTCCCTTAATTGTTGCAATTAGATCAACTAGCCCGGCATTCGCCGGTTAATTGCTCTCTAATTAAATCAACTTCCAACACTGTTTCCATCCACGGCGAGAAAAGGATTAGCTTAGTAAATAATACATCCGTGGCAACTCGATCGGAACTGTGACCGATTGTTAAATTAATTCAATTTAATTGTTCGTTAATTAACGAGCAAATTCTCAACTCAGCAGAATCAGAAAGGAAATAAGAAGTACGAGGACAATAATCCGATTCAATTAAACAAGACAGAATTAAATATCTTTTCATCTGTGGGAAGGGTGTCTAAGAATAGAACTATTGTTGCATGGCCTTAATGCACGAACAAACGGACAGACAATTCCATCGATAGACATGATCGATTTTTACATTACCGGTAATTGTACTATGGGTTAGACCCGGAAATTATTTCACGGTCGAGGAGTACGTCAGTCGATGGCAAAATGCGCGTTGCATCGCCGGTTTTAAACATTGAAATTACACAATTCGTTAGCAGTAAACTCGCCGTTTGCCTTTACTTTGTTACGCTGTAAAATGTAACAACAAACTCGTATCGGCTTTACTGCTTGCTCTTAGTCGTTCCTCGTAAAAATGAAAGTAAGCAAGCCCAAATTCTGTTATATGATCCTGCGCTATCAATCTTCGAAATACCGACAGCGCTTCACAAATCATTTCATCAGAACAATAACAAGAAAATCTCTTTTAGCCGTGATGTTAAAGGAACAGTATTACGGTCTGGGAACTGTCCAAAATCTCTGGTGCTAATAAATCTACGTTTCACGGGAAATTCATATTAGAATCGGAAATATAACACGCATGCAGTGGATTGGATTTCGATATACATTTCAACGAAGGAAATGAACATATGAATAAAAAAAACTCAGCTTCATTTCCTCGCTTTGTGATTATCAAAAAATTGGAATTCGTATCGGAATTTGTATCGCTTGCGGTGGTAATCGCAGGTGTCTGTAAAATGAAATTCATTTGTCAAATCGTCGAGAAGATAATTGTCCATACTAGGGGTCGCTTTAATTAGTAACTCGCGTTTAATGGAACGTAGCTTTGAGTACGCACCTCAATTTTGGGAATTCTAGAAGCTTGCCGAACGCCACGGCTGCCTGTTTTTCCTCCTTCCCTTTCAGAGGAATCGCACCACCGGTGATTAATGGAACTCGTTGAGTAATTAATTCTAATTTAACAGGTTGTGTAACAGGTTGTTTGAAAGGAGTGAAAATTAATCGAGAAACACGACTATCGCAGGCTTCACGCAGCGTAATACTTCGGAATTACGTAGAAAAACTAATTACGTTCATTCATTACTTGAATCTAAAAAAAAATGCGACTCTCTTTCTAGTAATAATAAATGTAGCTGCTCGCTTTCATTCTCTACGCGTACTCTCTACAATTTGACCTCGTCAGAACGCGCAAGCTATAACGAGTTACCAAAAGGCAAAGGCTAAAATAACGAAGCTATTTCAGCCCCGACCGCAGGAAATAATAATGTATGGTTCTGTGGAAAGTTTCCTCGGCTCGTCGAAAATTCTCGGATTGACGGAAAATTATTGGTAAAATCTATCGACTGGCGGGTGCAGCGAGGCGAGGCAAACTGCCGCTAATCACCAGCGAAAATCTCGATTTAATGGTCGACGAGGGGGTTGGACCGGACCGGTGCACGTGGAAGCTGCCGATGCACAACGCCTAGCCGAACAAAAACCGTCGTCTGGTCCGCTCGCGTGCGTCGCCACGATAAATGCCACCGCGCATCGCTGCATACACACCCCGTTACGTTTTATGCAAAATAGCCGAGCCGCGGATTTATCGATGAATTCACACACGCGGACGTTTCCGTGAATCCGTCTTCATTCTATCCTTTCCCCCTCGAATACCTCTACCAAGCTTCCTCCAAAACTATTATTTCGCAATTCTCGCTTAGATTCAAATAGGTTTTATGAAGATGAGAAAATGATAAACACTTCTAGACGATTAGTGTTACATTTTCTTTATTATAAGAAACCGTATTCTATTCTAAGACTCGATATTAAACTTTATAGATTATTATTAGACTAGACGTGTACATCATCAAGTATACTCTAATCTTAAATTCATCGCATCCTCGAGTTCTATTATCGACAACGCCACTCTATCATGTTCCACTAGTAACACATAAGACTTTAACCCTTAATCGACAACCCATAAATCTCTAACGTTCAAAACAAAAGACTACTCCAAAGAAGCATATCGATCCAAGATACAATATTCATCTGTAATAAGAAACGATGGTTTGACAAAAATGTGATAGATTTGATATAGAATCCAACCAATCGCAACCCGCAAATGAAACCGAAAGAAGGATACCGCGTTTGGCATCGGACGAAAATCGGGCGCCAAAGGGTGGCTACCCCCGCGGTGAGTTCGGGCTCAGGTTCTTAAAAAGTCAATTTCACGGGGCGAACGGCCAAAGGGGGATCGACAGGTTGATCGCGCGCGGAACCCCTCCCAGCTGCCTGTCCATCCCCCGGCGTTTTTACAGACGCGGACGTGAAACGAGCGACGGTCGCGTCGCGAAGAAGAGCATAAGCGAGCGCCACCCCTTCATATTGATCGTAGCCGGCTGCTAAACATGGCGCCGGGGGTGGCGTTCGCGATCGGCCTGATCCTCGTCGTCGGACAGCTGAAGGAAGGGCCAGGCACCCTCACGAAGACCTTCACCTTCCCCGAATATCCGTACAAGGAGACAACCAAGAATGTAAGTGCTATCATTGACCTACGAGCGTGAGAATCAGTATGCCGTTGAACGTTTACACGCTGGATAAGGTTATGGTGTAGGGGTTGTTTTGGAGATGTACCGCTTTTTGCACTGAACCGGTCTTATATCTGACAACAGTATTCACTGTAATAGTAGAAATGAGAGGAGATTCTGATCAGACTTTTTAGTAAGAGAACGAATCTTGCGGTACTCTTCTGATTTATATCTAGAATCGAGGGGAAAATATTGGTTTTCAAGTTCATTATTCAGTATCATAATTATAGTTGTTCTATCTTTACCGACACTTCGCGGTTTCATATTTATTATTTAAATCTCCTGACTTTCAATACTGTGTTTTGCCATACGTAATATATCGAGATCGCTTCGAATCGAGGTAGTATTTCCACGAGAAACGTAAGATTAATTCTGTAATGCTGGCCGAAGGATTGGCATTAGTTCAAAGACGATGCTGTTACTCGGTAATAAAATAGAAAGAAAGAATCCCAGCAATCATTTTTAGATCAATTTTACGATTATCTTCCCGATATTTCCAATTATTTCTATTATTTCTCTTAAAAATGATATGATAATAAAACGTGTTCGAACGTGAATGAATTTAGACAGAGAGAAAGGAAACTGTCTTCAAAGGAAATTGAACGAGCAACAGCAGCAATAATAGAACTCATGCGAGGACTAATTGAGGTTAATCTTTCGAACAGGCACGAACCAATTGTTACGCTCAATTTTATGCGGTTATTGTGCGCGAGAAGCGCAATCGACTGTGTTTTTCACCGCGTGCCAAGAGTCTCTTTAGACAGTTCGTAACAATACATTTTCTCCAGGCTGTTTATTCGAGTGGAGCATATTTCAATATCAATTTCGCTTTGACCGGTATCTCATCGCGATATAACTCTCTCCCTTCCCCGCTCTCCCGCAGGAACTTCTCTTCAGGCAGTTCGAGCAGGCTTGCGAGGAGAGCGGCGCTTGCAAGATTATATCGCCAGAAAGAAACAGCATGGCCAAAACTAGATGCATTCGCGAATGCGTGTCACCGTCCTGTTACAAAGAGATCTACTTGTTCGACCAGGTATTCGAATTGAAACAAATTCGTAAATCATTTTCAACCCATTCGCATCATCAGCGAATTATAAATATAATTTTTAATCGTTAACATCAAAATAAAAATAATTCAATAGTGTATTGATTTTTTGGTATTAAACATTATATCAATCGTTAGATGAAGCATTTTATTGAATGACGGCATATGATGCGAATGGGTTAAACTACGCCAGGTGTATGGAATGTAACGACTGATTACAGCTAGAAGAAGGCGAGATCGACGTCAGATTAAACTCCTTCAAGGGTTGCTTCATGCAGCGCAACGGGCGACCGCGAAAGTAACAAAAACTTGCTGTCCCTTGAAAAGAAACTGAAGGGACGAGTACGACCGCCGAGCGACTGCGAAAGTCGAGCGAGCGTGGATTCTATAAGCGACGCGACAGACGCACACCACACGAACCGCGCGTCCGACCAGTTCCCGAGATAAAAGAAATATGAGAATTTTTAAGATACATCATCCGGCCGATGCATTTAGAGAGCGAGAAGAGCAATCAAGCTATTTAGCGATCGCAACAACAGACAGAAACAGAAACCACTATATTTCAGGATTACGCTGAAGCGCACGCGGACGGATTAAATTCGTCCCCGATTAATCTTTTTCTACTTTTTGTACGCACGTATTTAACATGTTACAATGTTATATCGAGGCAATGTTGCACAGATCGAATAAACTGTTAAAGCAAAACTCGCTTCGGAAGTGTCACAGAATATCCTATCTAATCCTCGTACTGCGATAACTAAAAACGTTATGACAGTCCCGTAGATAAATTGGTACAATATGTTTATCATTAAAAGAATTTCTGGATCAACAAATATAATTTAAAGAAAAGTATTTCATAACACTCACCGCATGAAGAAGACTGGAAAATCCAGCGCTGGTTTTTGAATCTTTTATTTCTTTCACGTAGCTTTTGATCAAGTCCAAAATCTCCTCGAATGGTGTTGTGCGAAGGGATTCCTCGTTCCATGGTGCCTCGTCATCGCAGTATCTCTTACGGTAGCTAAGCCACGTTGAAACGTATTCCAAAAAATCGGAGGATATGTAACGCGTCTCCAAGACGCTATATACGATATCATAAGTACTCATCAAGGTGCACAGGTGATACATCAGCCATTCTACGTGCTTACAGCAAAATTGTAGAAAGGCTTGCAAACATTGGTAAATCGTATCCCTTTGCGTTGGATCCCTCTGTAAAAAATTTCAATCAAATTTTAATTGACTAACATTAAATATTTTTGTTACAATCAGCAACTCACTGAATTATTTTACAGTGTGTATATATAATTTTGAAAATAAGCATTCTATTTTATGGTTCAGATTTTTAAAACGAAAACATTTTATTTACGTAAATTCTCGTTATAATTCTATTTCATTTATGCCGAACAAAATTCAAGATATTAAATAATATTTATTGCCCAGCATTGTTTGTTAATATAATTAACTTAAAATCACTCACTATTTCATGGACGATAAAAAGGGTCTCGTAGAGGTTGATCATGCCTTCGGCATGTTTTTCATCGAACCCGTCCAGTCTGATGAGCGAGCCGTCAATATTTTGAGTTAAAAGTTCCAGCACGAGTTGTATTCCATTGATCGACGAATGGACGGACCTCCTCGTATTTAACAGCAAATCGGCTAAACTCTGCACGTCAATCGTCAGCGGCTTAACGCGTTGGGACACGCAACGCTGGATGGATTGCTGATCGCCCGACAATCTATTATTTGCAGACCGTGCAATATCCTCGCACACCTGGATCGACGATTTTTTCTGCCAACGAATGATAAAAGCGAGCAGCTTCAAGCAGACGGCGGACAGCTCGGTCGTCTCTGCGGAGAAGCCTTGAACGACCAACTCCTTCAACAAATCCGGAGTTGAGCAGCACTTCTCGAGAACTATTAGGTAAAGAAGAAAAAGGAGAAGAGGTAGAAACGTGGAATTGTTTTCTGTATTTATCGAGGGTAAGTCTCCGTGAAATATGTACTCGTGAAAGACTGGATCCTCACGGACGTGACCAGCAACGCATACGACTGCATTACTGCTAACGTCCTCAGCTTCGAGTCCGCCTCTTGGCGTAGAATGATCGCTAGGAGACCGTCCGCGCAACGATTTCTAACGCTCGATATCAATAAGTTCGGCATTGACACGTTGGCTAATTCTAACACTGCTTTCATCTGTTCGTCTATTAAATATTTTTTCAAAAACATAGGGATGTATACAGGGTGATACGTAATCAAATTTTTTAAAAATAGACACCTTTTGATGGATCGTAGGTCGATATCAATTTCGGCAACATGTCCCAGGCAATCTCTGCAAGTTCCTTGGCATTATTCATGCGGATCATCTCTCTAATTCCCTTCATCGCTAAATTGATTATCTCCTCTGAGTACCCTTCTTGTATGACGAGCTATTTCCCAACAGATATTACATTACAGCACGTACTAGCTTATACCGTATTCACAGATTAGGGAACGTTTTGCATGTATACCAATAAATAGTGCTGCACTACTTCGCGGCAGTCCAACATTAACAGCGGTTTAATGTCGCCGTCAGACTCGATGAGCCAAAGGTTCATCGTCATGTTACGAAGATCCTTCGGGAAATCGACAGATTTCAGACAGTAGCGCAAGAGGTCTATGTGGTGGGTGTAACAATCGTGCAACGTGGAACGTCGCAACGCGGCTGCCAATCGTTGCACGGCTCTGTAATAATCCTGCTCGGTGCTCGGTGATGGATGCGATACGGACGCGAGAGCAAACAGAAACCATAAAACTTTCAAAACTTGAGCCTGTTCGGATTTAGGCAGATTGACAATTCTCGTGATTAACGATTTCAGGCATATCATATCGACCCTAAAATGTATCCATTCTAACTATCGACTCGTCAATAAACGTGAATTGAATTTTATTAAATATGACTTCGTACTCTCTGGTTCCATGGTAATGATAGTAGATTAGCGTTGCCAATGCATTCGAACTATTGCCTTGGTGAGCTATAACATCTCCCCAATATTTGGGTTCAAGTGGGAGATTCAATAATCCGGGATACAACGAATTTACAAAGGCTGTCTTTTGCTCGTCTGAATGATCGACTGGCATAGATTTATCAGCCAAGGTGGTTAGTATTCGGGATAGTAGCAGATAGGTACTGCGCCGCAACATTTCTCTAAAATATCAATAGTGAACCCAGGAATATCGAACCACGGTATGGACAGTGTAAACCATGCTTTTTATGAAGACGAATATCAAAAATAGGTTGAGCATTCTATAGTTCAGAATCTACATTCTCGATAGTGGAAGTCAGAATAAAAAAATTTAATTGTCAACTTATTTCATGTTATGAAACATGACCAAGTGATATTTTGGTAATCATTAAGGCTACTGATGGAAAGCTAAATATAGAAGTTCCATAATGTCCTTCAACGATTCCTGAACGACCGAGACTTACGGAAACGTGGTGGTTAAAAGTAAGAAATACTTCAGATATCCGTTGGCGGCCAACTTGTTTGACAAGTCGTGGTCGCAACCACTGCTCAGCATGTACAGATTGTTCAGGCAAGTGACGAGGTTCCTGGGAAATTTGACCTTGTCCATATAGTTTGACTCCTCCCTGCTCTGACGGTCGGAAATAAAAAGGCCTTTGACGAACGCGTAATTAAATACATGTCACATCGCGAACGACTAGAACTTACTTTAACATAAGGGACAAGCGTGTTCATCGTTGCATCGCGAATCGCCTTCGTTAATTTCCGTTTCGATTCCAAAACTTGATCGACCTCTTTTGTTTGGCTATGGCTTTCTGACACGCATAATCTGGATGAACATTATACTAAATTCTTAAGCCTTATTTCTGTATAAGAGTATTGCGAGGGTATGCAATCCCCGAAATTGACAATTTTAATTATAACAGAAATGTTGGTTTAACAATGTTCAGAAAGAACTAATATATTATGTAAGGGTTTCATAAGAATCTTATATAAAAGAAATTAAAGTGGGTATCGTCATCATTCCTGAGTGAGAGCATTGCAAAAATTGCAAATTTATAGAATTTATATGAAATCAAAAATCGCTTAGAAGGGGGAAACATAAGGAGCAGTTTCAAGTTGTATACAAATTTTAAAACTTTCTTTCCACTCTTAATAAGAAATATATCTGCAAATCTATAGGCAGTGAACTTTTGGATGCAATTTAGTACGATTACTACTTAAACATTTATGTCTAGCGTACGAACCGTGTGGCGGAAGCGCAAAGAGTACACAACGCGTCTGCGGCTAGCGAAATGGACACATCATCGTCACTGTACATGACGATGTCTTCCATTAAATTCAGAGCTTTGTGGCTGAGCTCGTACGCGTCGTCATTCACTTCGTCCTTCGTATCAATGTTACTAAGGACGAGACTCAATAGCTCGACGCCGGAGAACTTTATCTTCTGATCCAAAGGATTCTCCGAGATCAAAGATTTGAGGAAGGTCAGTAGTTGCCGCGGGACACAGACCATACCGATATCCACATTGAACTTCACTGATCTAATAATTATCATGTTCGCGATATACAATTTACGTTCTTTTACGGTTTCAATAATTTTATGCACAATTACACGCGCTGAACAACATTTACCTAAGAAGTATGTCGTTCATAATCGTAACAAGTTTCTCTAATAATTGTGTTTCCTTGGAGCGGGACTTTAGAATGCATACTGCGACTTTCAGAATAGCATCCATAGCATCCAGGGCTATGTAACTTTCATAAAACTTCCGGTATACGATTATTGCACTTAAGAAATCAATAATAGATCTGTTCGAAAGAAGGCAAATGTTTTAAGAAATCTACTATTATATACTCAGTATTTCGCATAAAACGTACCGAAGTAATCGATCTTTAGAAGTTTGCAAGAGCTCGAACATCGTCGAGAGCACATCGGATTTGATCAATTTTAAAAATACCGCCTTTTGGCCGGCAGCGTCTTCGCTTTCCAACAAACGGGATATTCGTTCGATGCACGAAACCTACGAGATTTTTTAGTTTTTCGATTTCGGCTAATATTTGAAGTAGTAAACGTCAATGGTATAACTTATTTTCACACGGTAAAAGAAACACGTCTGTTTAGAATGCATTTTTTAAACTGACACCACAAACACTTGATTTTACATAAAAACCGCGGTCTACTAATGAGAGACAGTCGTCCCCCGCCATAAAAGGTATCAACATTGTTGTAGAGTAACACCTTGAGTGAGATACATACCTGAGAACATTCATCGATCACCATTAGCTTCCTTCTCACGTCTGCTAACATGATATCGACATCTTCGGCATCTAACTGAAACAAAGGCTCCATTCTTTTGCGAATAATTGAACTGACACACGATCTTATATCACGAACACACGACGACGCCACTTTGTTTCGAATTGAAAGTAATAACAGAGAGAAACAGATGCCTCTGCGCAGATCTACGTGCATTTCTACGCATGCGTAAAAAATACGCACACAAACCGCATTTCCACCTGAATTATATCAAGGAATGCAGTAGTGTGTCCCGAAGGCAAGATTGAGCCGTCAGATGGTAGCATCTTCGTCGGGTTACCGCGTACCCTTATATACACGTAAATTCGGCAGTTTAAATAATAATTTTGGTTCGTTAATACAGTCCAGTATTCGCTTGTATTGCCTTCTCGTATTGTGTAATGATACGGTGTCCAAATAGTGATAAAAGTAAATTGTAATAAGCAACAGTGATACGATATAAGTAAAGACCGGGCTAGAAGATTTTGAAGCCATTCTATAATTTATCTTCAATTTAATAAATCTGTTAGCATGTGTACGTGTGACTAAAGAACTATACGTTGCAACCGTGCAACAAGTTGAGATGTCGAGAGAATAGATTCAGCTAACGGAGGTATGTATATTCACGTCAATGGTTACTATATTTTATTTCAAACGTTATTATAAATTATAATACAAATAGAATAAGTATAATCATAATATATTATAAATGTTAAACAATCCTGAGTAATTACTCTACATAAAGAGATAATGAATCGCATTGTTATCAATAATTCCTCTTCTTTTTTTTGTTGTGAACCGCTCGCCCCAACATCGTTCACGATGTCGCGGTACATTTTCGCTGAAACGAGCTGCGAAATATGTATATACTATAGAATACATTAATGATAACATATAATATAAACAATCCATTTGATATGGAAGGGGTTAATTCTAGGCTATTTATACTTTCTTGCTCCTTAAATTGAAAACGTCATAAACTATACAGTATTAACATCGAGAAATGATAATATCGCGATCCGATGTAAAAAACATTTACACAAATGAGCGAATGCGGTAATACACAGTGCAACGTGACAACGCCGTTATTATATTCAATTATGTGCAGAATCTATACATAACAAGAGCGAAACAAGCGTACAATTAATTTTCGACCGCGAAGAATCAACGAGAGACAGCACAGAGTGTAAGGAAAAAGAAAAAATACATATGAAATAACGCGTCCCTTCTCTTCTCTTGCCGCGACGAGACCCCGTCGTATTTCCCTTCAACGCGCTGATCGACTTTACAAAACAAAACAAAAAATAATATTAATAGTAACCGCGAATAACGTGTCAACAAATGAAAAAGATTAAAGCCTCCCTAAAAGAAGAACTTTGAGCCGACCGTCGATTAGAATTAGCCCCCTTTGACAAGTTACTCGATAGTAAACGACGATTACACGAAATCGTTTAATTCTCTCTCTTTAGTAAAACAGAAATAGCGACAAACCGCAACAATTTTGATCAATCGTTCGTATAGTTTTGATATCAACACACACTTACGCGGTATATTGTGTTTAAACTCTCACGATACTTGCACACCTGACTCACGATGAACCATCCATCGTTTCAAATTCTGATCTCATTAGTTCAGAGACTTCTCCATTCGAGACGCTAAAACGTTGATTTATTAAAATGACCCACGCTGAAATCTGGATTCATTTTCTTGCCATTTCTCGTCACCAGAAATAATTCTCAAAGACCTCACAGCGTATTTTCGTATCGTCGTAGAATGATAATTTAAAAGAGAGTTGACCGAGTCATAAATACATTGATTGCATCAAGAGACGAGAAACGGCAAACTATTTGAATAATGCCCCAGGAACGCATTCATTCGAGTTTATTGATTGAGACAACTACTACTCGGTTCTACGGGATAAAGTTCACGTATCAAAGTCTAAATGCGTATCAAACGACTGTTATTCAAACAACAGTCCTGTAAACGGTATACACTCGATAACAAAAAATATAGCCCCTTCGTAAACGACCTATCGTACGCGATAGGCGTCCAACAACGTGAAGCGCAGCTCGCGATCCTCGCGCCGGACCCGAGCCTCGTTTCGGCTATTGAATCATGTTTACTTGATAAACATGCTCAATACGGTTACAACGAGCACGATCCCCGGGCGACCGTATTAATTGACACGAACGTTGCTCCATTCTACCGTCGAAGCCCTATTGACCGTGGCAGTGATGAAATATGTAATCTGTAGACCATTTATGGAAGGAAATGTGCTGAAGAGTGATCAAAACTGGATCTTCGACGAGGAAGACTTGAAACAAGCAACCGGTCTAGCACCATTCAAAAACGATATTAATTTCGGATGATACGATTATAATTTTCTGGTAAAGGCTCGATCGTGTATTAGAACTAGTAATTAGCCATTCAGAGCTCGAAACGTTTCTTCCTTTCGGCCACCATACCCACAGCGGGCAGTGGGGGATGGAGCGGGTGATGGTAGCTCGGCGTGGGCGTTGGGGGCAGACTGCGACAACTTCTGCTGGACCACCTCACTGCTGGAGACCTCATCAGCTCTATAAACAGATTTTCACTTCACCGATTGTTGTTTATCTATCTTTTACCAATGCTACCCTGATTCCCAAGTAAACGCGAAAACAGAAATTGAAAATAAAAAGAACGCACATATGTACAGATTTTCAGTCCAGGTTCATCAGTTAGTTAGAATTAATGTATTATGATTACACATTTGAATGTTAAATAACAGAGACAGTTTGTTAAACAATAATATAGATTATTGTAGAAAACGTAACGAAGATAAATGAACCTGCAAATGAAAAGTTTTAACAGAAACCAAATAAGCAACTAAGCTCCGAAAACAAGTGGAAGCAAAAAGGAAAGAAAATAAAACAGAATGCGTATGGAAAGCGCGTAAAAACGGAAACAGAAAGGCGAATTCTGAGAGCTAATTTGGTGAGAGATTCCTCTTAATTGGGAAAGAAGAAAACGGACCTGCAACAGAGAGAGCTGGGGGTTCCGGGGTGAGGCGAGGATCGTCGGCACGGAAGCCGTACGCCTCCGGGCGGTGCTGTTTCTCGCTTTTGATGTTGCTCTGCCAGCTGCTCCCGTCGCCGACTGCTGTGCCACCTTTCGTGTCAAATACAATTGTCGAAATACGATTATCCCGTTTGCACGATCTGCTTACGCGTTGCATTACAACCCCTTCCTTTACTATACCAATTTTTTGTCCCAAACAATATCACAAATGGACCATTTTAAAAGTGAATGGAACCGAGATGAATTCCTGAGTTCTCTGTAGGATTTCATAAATTACTTCGCATATTTTCATTTTACTTTCATATTCTAAAGAATGTGACTCGCGATTTTTTTTAGGAACCTTCGTCGAACTCAAAAATCGTAACAAACATATTTTTTTATCAGTCTTACGCTACCACCGATGTCTGTTAATCAGTTCTAAACGACACAACGGGCAGAATGATTATTTTCCTTATAGGCCTAGTATGTTCCCACCGATTAAGCGATTCTTACAATTTATATTCGCATAGTTTGACTCTGAGCGTTCGGAGGCACGCAGAAATCGATGTAAAAATTTTTGTATTTTTGTGGATGCATACTGTTGGCTGCAAAAATAGGTTCTCCGGTAAGAAAATGTAAAAAGTTTCATTTATAAAAATGCTGTTGGCAGTATACATGTACGCGACGTTTTGCGCCCATCCGAATCACCCGTTAATAGTACATTGGAAATTATTATGCGCACAAGTTGGATATCCAAATAGTACAAAATCACATCCATGAAAAGGCGGGGTTACTTTGCGTTACACCATCAAAATCACATTATGTTAGAAAGTATACAGTCAGACAACCCTTGAGTAAATACTAATTTCTACGATTCGTATACAATAGACGTACACATTTTCAACTATCATCGTCGGCAACCGATCCAATTACACTTTAAAGATGTGAACAACAGAATGATTATTAAACAACAACACGTTAAAAATTTGATCGGTCACTTTTGATTCGCCGGACATTAGCAACTAGTTAATTCATTAAGCGGTTCATTCCTAAAAAAGAAAGCACCTGGTTAGTCTTAAGTTTCCCAATCTTAACTACTTCCCACGGAATCGATTAAAGACAAAACCAAACAACTAGTTAAAACAAAAACAGAGGCCTCGATCCTCGCTAAAATTTTTAGCATGCCAAAGTTTTCTGAATCGCCGAAAGCAACGAGATACATAGATCGTCCAACGTACACTTGAAACGAGCGCGCGGTTGCGTTTTCTTTTTAAACATAAGCAGAGACGAGTTCGAGGAGAGAAGAAAGAGGATCGAGAAACGGCACGGCGATCCACCAGAAGCGTTTTTATCACACGTTGAGTGCTAATTATGACGGATCGCGTTAAGAACCTAATTGACACGGTTCGCGTAGGTGAATTCTACTTCAGCACTCAACGTGTTCGTTCTTCTCGCCCATTTCACCTTCGTTCTGTACCTTGATACTGATGGGGCAGTCCGCTCCTCGGTCTCAGGCTGTCCCAAAGCGGCGACACCAGCCCATTACGCTCCTGGCTCTTTTGCCCTAAGTTCGCTTCTTTCCTGTCGTGCGACGGCACGCCAGTACTACTGCCCGGCCTAACAATGTTACCCGAATACGGCAACGAGACCGATTTAACCCGTTCGAGCTTGTACGAGAACGCGGTTGCCGCCTGTTGCTTGTTGTCCGATTGCAATGAATTGCACTTTTGCAACGTCGACAGCGAGCTTCTCGGCCGTTCGCCGATCGTTCTCTGCTCCTCGCTGCTCGCCGATCTTACCGGCGGCGACGGCTCGTTACTACCCCGTACACGCTGCTGCGGCGAGTACGGCGGCGAATAGCTCGTTACCGATGCAGATTTCGATGGCACACCGGGCGGGGTATCACGAGGGGCCTCCCCATGCTGTTAGTGAAATATTGAAAATACAAAATGCGTCAGTGCGGTCGGGGCATAATGTGTGGTTGGTTAAAACGATCAGAGATCGGTGCGCGTGATGATCTGGGTCTACCCAGACAATTGTAGGCCGTTTACGAGATTCAGTAGGTACAGTAAACCCTTAGTGTAAAATTGTTAGCCCTTTAAACAGTCCGATTCTTCATGTTACATTAGTGATAAGGAACAAATAAAGCTTGCAAATACAAAAACCTTGCTGTACCTAACTTCGCCTCCAGTCTACAACTATGAATTTATTTACAATCGTTATCCAAAAGCGGTATCTCGTAAGGGCTTACATCATAACATATAACTGCGGTGGAGTTAATCGTTTAGCGTTGTACGTTTGTTAACCACATATCTAATCGGGACTAATTCACAGCGGGACGAACGTTTAGAAGTTACCTTCAACTGCTGCAATCGATGAATTTCTTCCCTCGGCTCGGCAATCTCGCTGTCTCTGCCTCTCAACATCTGCATCGTGTCGTTCATGGTGTTATCGTTCGTTTCCAAAACTAGATGAGCCCTTAACTGTTTGTTCCTCACGTCCAGTTGCATGATGTGTTGCTGCGCCTGGGCAAGCTGCTTCGTGAGAGACCCCACTTTCTCCTCCAAAGCCGCGGATTCTACGCACTTCGAGGAATACTTCGCTGATAGCGACAGAATTTCCTGTTTGATTTCCTCCATTTCTTCCCTGTAAGTTCATAAATAAAAAATGTTCAATATTAATTTTGTAATTCAATTCAGTGAAACGGAATAAAGTTTGATTACTTACTCGTGCTCTTTGTGAAGTACGCCAATGTCTTCGCGCGCCTGCATCTGTTTGATGAACTCCTGCTTGAATTTCGCAATTTCTTTCTGTACTTCATGTTCGTGCGCTTTCCTCATAGCGTCGAGAGCAGCGAGAGTTGCCTGAGTCTCTTCTGACAGCGCTTGCTCCTTCTCCACTCGCAGGTTCTCTAATTCCTGTCGATGCTTCTCCTCCATTTCGGAAATAATACGTCTATGAGAGTTCTCCATAGCTATCAATCCCTTCTCGCAGAGCGCACGCAATTGCTTGATCTCCTCCTTGTATCTCTTCCTCGTCTCCGCGTCTGTGTCCAATTCGGCGCTCATGGATCTCTGATAGGCCGCCCTGAGCTCGTTCACGTGAGCTGAATGCTCGGAATCCATGGCGTTCAATCTGTGCTCCAATTTCCTGGCCTTCTCCCGCAAACTGGCTGCTTCTTGCTCGTACTGGGAAGTCAACGATTGTCTCTGATTATCCAATTCTCCCTTGATGTCCATCAAATCTCTCTCCTGATTACGTTTAAGCGTCTCCAGCTCCTCGTTATGCTCCGCCGTTATCCTTTGAATTGTTTCTTGCAACTGTTCGCATTGTTTGCAAGTCACGCTGTTCATATAGTCGCTCAATTTTTTTATCTGTTCGCGTAGCTGCGAGCACTTCTCGCAGACATTCGACCAATCGGTGATGCTGGCCGCGCTTGGTTTCGTGTTTAGCCAGGCGAAATTCTCGTTCTCCTCACCAGATCTCTCGCGAACGCGCTTGCCGAGCTCGACCAAGTCTTCCTCCAGGTACAGCAAGCTTTGACCGATGTTCTTCATCTGCTCTTTCGTGGCGCGTTTCGATCCGGTTATCCTGTCCTCGCACTCCTTACTAAACTGCTGATAAAGGTAACTGTACTCCGCGTCGAGAATCGGATTGCTTTGGAACTCTTGCTCGTCTGCCGCTAGCAGACACGAAAGAACGTCGTCGTTTCGAATTAGACTAGATACGAAAGTCTCCCCAGGGAAGCTCGTCAACTGTCTCGTGTTCTCCTGAAGAAGCCCGATTCTGGCATCTATTAAAGCTTTGTGCGCGATCACGTCCGCGTAGTCTGTCAGTAATTGACGCGACTCATACTTAGTTTCGACCGTCGATTTATTCTTCTTCAACTGGTGAAGGCATTCCTCGTACATGTCCGACAATTCGCGATTAGACTGTTCAATCTCCTGACGCAGCATCATCTGAGCTGTGTCGATCCAAGCTTCCAAAGTTACGCTCTCCGAATTGTCGAAGTTCAAACAGGCGTCGGTTACACTAGTGATGTTCTGCTCGTACATTTGACCGCATCGCATGATTACGTGTGACACCTCGGCCTGCACCAACTCTTTGCTGACCGTTTCCTGAGCCAATGCCCACGCCTCGCGAATTCTTCGATCCTCCAGCAGCTTGTTGCCAGAGCTGTTCGTCAGTTGCTTGTTCGCGTCCTCCTGCTCCGACATGTTCAGCGTCTCCGCGGCCAACGCTTCAGCGAGCTGCCTCAATTTCGTCTCCTTGTATCTGCGCACAATCTCGTTTACCTCGCGTTGCTTTTGCAGCAGGAAGTTCAGGCTCTCGCTACGAGCCGCAGACACCTCCTTGCTCGCGGTCTCCGTCGCGGCCACGCCGCCTACTAGCACTAACTTATTCGCTAACACTCGAGTAAGATACTGAATGTAACTGGTCTTTTGGTACGTTTTGGGCTTAGTTCCGTGAATCTTACGCGTTAAGCTTGAGGCAAGCTGACTAGTTTCGACCAATTCACTGAGAACGGCACTCCTGTCGAACGTACGACCGATCGCGCATTTTATCTGTCTGAGGACGACGAACTCGAACGCGACCCGCTCCGCGGTCAGCCTCATCTTCGCGCGATCGTCCAGCTGTCCGTTCTGCTCGAGCGTGTGCCGCCTCTTCGTGAGTTCGCTCAGCTTATCTTTAAGTATAGTCTCTAGTCTAGATACCACTACGCCTACTGACTCGGTCGCCTGAGCGCTGGCTTGATTTTTCTTACATTCTAAACACGAGTCGAGGATGTCGTTCACCTCGCGCAGACATTTCTCCGCTTTGTCCTCCGCCTGCGTCGAGCCTAGACACTTCTCAAGTCTCCTCTTCGACTTCGACACCACTCTCTCCAGTTTTCTTAACCTCGCGATGATTTCCAACGAAACTTCGCTGGTCGACGATCCGCTCACCTCGCTACACTCGCTCGAATCTTTCTCGACGTCGCTCGCTATATTCTCGGCAACGTTCGCCACTTTCGTCTCCAACGTGCTCAATCTTATCAACACCTTCATGGGCTCGGAGCTCGTTGCACTGTCTAGCGATTTTCTTCTCAATCTAGTGCGATCCAAACTCTTCCCGTCCCTCCTCTTCTCTTTCTTTGGATTAGGACTCGAATCCTTCGAGCTGCTTCCAGTCGCGGCCGCATTGATGTTCCTCCCACGTTCTATAGCGCAAATCTTGTTCTCCAGATCCAAGAGCTTGTCCTCCATTTCTTGCGAAATTTGGAAGGATTCACGACCTTTCAGCGACAGAGATCTCCTCTTGTCCCTTGTCTCAGCTTTTGTTAATTTCTGCTTCAAGGTCCTCACTTGCTTCTCACTGGCAGCGAGCTTGTTCGTCAAGTCCTGAATCCTCGCCGCCATCAACTGTATCTGAGCTTGATTCGTTTCGTTCACGTTAGCCGCGTCCTGCTTGTGAGCAAAAATCTCCAGCTCCAAGGCATCCTGCATCGCGTGCGCCTCGCGAAGTTCCTTACGCATCGCGCGTATCTCCAAGATTGCCTTTTCGAAACGGCTTCGAAGTTCGTCGTATTCTTCCACGATTCTTTCCTTATCCAGGGAATTCAAATCCAGATCCAGTTCGATGTTCGTCAGATCGCTGAGAGAATCGAAACTTCTCCTACGTTCCCTCGAGGACGACAATCCCCCTTTGTCCTCCAATTCTCGAACTTTGTTGTACAACCTCTCGTTCTCGTCTATTCCCTGAGACAGTCTGTTACTCAGGGAAGATATCTCCGACTGCAGATGTTCTACGGTCCTATGACTCGAAGCCAGTTCCTTAGTCAGCATTTCGCATCGCTCGCTGGTTTCTCTAAGAATAGCCTCTGTTTCCAATAATTTGCACTCGAGAACCTCTTTATCTCTATTATACATCTTCTTCATCTTCTCTAGATCGTCCAAGTCTTTGCTCCGCTCTTGTTCCGTTCTCTGTATCGTGTTCAACAACTCGTCAACCTGTTTCTCTCTAATGGTAGCCTCTGCTTTCTGCTGCCTCAACCTGGATAACTCTTTCTCGGCACTCGCGACGTCCGCTCTCGCAGCGTTCAACTGCGACTTCAGGCTCTCGATCTCGTTCTCCTGACGCTCGATAATGACTAGTAGCGTACTCGGATGCGACTGATTCTGGTCCAACTGATCGCGCAGCAGCGATACTTGATTCTCCAACAGTTCCACGATCAGAGGACTCTCGTTGGCGCTCGACAGGCAACTGTTACTCTGCAGATGCCCGTTCGGCTGCTCCTCGTCTTCGCCGAGTTCGCAGCAAGCCATCATCAGGTCCTCGGATCTCACGCTGTCCAACGTGCTCCTCCTCGAGCTCGGAGGCGAGCTGCGGCTACGTTTGTATACTCTAGACCTGGAGCTAGATCTGGATCGGGCTTTTACCCGAGATAGGGCTGTTCTGTTCAACGGTGGCGAGGGTGGTAACTCCGACCACTCGTGATTAGCCGAATCTGACCAACTGGAACTTTTCAACCCGCTGGTCCAGTCGCCATTCCTTACGAGAGGCGGTGACACGGGGACCTCGGACCAGTCGCCAGATTCTCGTCTGCCACCCTCCGATGCCGTGCGATATTCCTCGTCCGAAGAGAACAGGACAGAACGCGGTGTAACTGACGTCGATGGAATCACCGAATCCCGTTCACGTTCCGTTATAGATCTAAAAATAAAAATAGAACTTAAGTAAATCAGAATTACAATTCTTATTCACTTGTATATTACGAATTTATAAAGTAATTAATGTTACATGGTAATAAATATTCTCTATTACTTACGCGGTGGGCGATTGTGGAGTATTGTCTTGCTGTCCGTCTTGGCAGACTATCAACGAGTCGTTATTGCTGTCCGGATCTGGTAGATTCGCGGCTCTTCGAATGGCTGATATCCAACTGGCCCGTATTCCAGCAGTAACCGCGGACAACACAGTAGATCCTCTATCGTCCCAAGCCTTGAGGACATTCGCGAGAAAAAAGAGAGGAGAATATATCGGCCAATAGAGGAAAAAACGGAGAACGTTATCTTCTATGTGGGACAAACAGCGGGATACGAAGCGGGTGACAGAGAGATCGGTGACACAAATAACCGAAGAGAGTTCCGAGATCTGTTCTAGCGTGAAATTGAGTTACCGATTTTTTCCAGCCACTCCCAGCCGGAGCACGGAAGTCGATTCCGACAATCCAATTGAGTAACAAGCCCTCGAGAGATTCACGGCTAACTATACACTTCTCGCCGATGATTGACTAGCGATGAGCTTAATAATAATTAGTAGACAATGAAGATCGAGTAATTTTGCATTGCATTTAACGATCCTTACCCGGTATTCAATTTCTCGTAAACTCATAAATATCCGCAGCTTGTTTATTATCTGTACCGTATTTAGATTCGCAGGTCGCGGTTCGCGAAGCAGTAAACAGGAATAAACAATTTCGCCAAGGGACGACGAAGGGGCGCAAGCAGAACGAGGAGGAGGTGGGGAGGAAATTACGGCTCCCGTATGGTCTAACTGGATTTCCATTGGTTCGTTCGTGCGGAATGTTAATTACCGTAAATCACCGCGCGTGTAAATCCGGCGGTCACACTCACCACGGTCTGGAATCCATAATTTCTTGCGACTTGAAGGGGCGTGACGGCGGTAACGGTATTCAGATCTATGACGCCGTCCATGATACCCTTATCTTCCGCGCAGGGATCTCGGTAGTACATGAGGCCGCAGCCGCGTAGCACGAACCAGTGCTTGTTCCATTCCTGAAGAACACACCGCCCCGTTGCATATATTGACTTTCATTAAGGCTATTGATAGAAATGAAGGAGGTTGTTGTCAGCCCGGGCCGGGTACGAACCTTGTTCAGGCCCTGTTTCATTAGCCAGCCTTTCTTGATGTTTAGTAAGTCCTCCGCGGGCAGATCGACCCTCAGCTCCGAGGTGGGCGAGTACCTGATCCCGGAGATATCCAAACCGCAGCCATCGGGATCGCCCCTGATCTGTATCGCATTATCAATTCTCATCACAACTCGTAACATAAATTAAAATGACATTTTTAAGACAGACATTTCCATCTTCTCATCACGAATGAAAATTGCTAATTCCTTCCTAAATACTCACAAATTTATCTTGATACGCCGCGTTAGCTGCGTCCACTACGTCTCTGGTAGGCTCAGAACTTCTCGGTTTGATTCTCCTAACACGTGGCTGCGTCAGAGAGGCAGCAATATCTCGCAGCTTGTCCTCTCGTTCTCTCTCGTGCTCCAACAGGATCCTTCGACAGGCGTCATCGTCTGAAGCACACGTCAAATCGTTCACGATTTTCCGCTCCATTCGATAGAGTCATCCCGCGTACTGTTACGGTAATGGTCATGCTAAACGACTAATGGTAATGATCATCTGCGGTGGAAGAAAAAAAAGTCAGCCGAGAAACGCGTTTCCGGGAGTGCTACCACTTTTCTCATCGCCGTTATCAACCGCTGGTTTAGCCAATTAACTTATTTTTCCATCAGAAGCTTAACGCGTCGATGCCACGCCGACTAGACGGCTTGGTTAATTGACTGCCGGCTAATTAATAACCGGACCCCCTCTCGGGTGCGAACCACCTTATCTTGCTCGTTTATCCGCGTTTCTATCGAGTCTTCATCAAAATCTACCAGCCATTACTATACTAATAACAGTTTTCTGCTAGCCTCGTAGTCGTCAGGAAAAATTGATGTTCCCCTTATGGGGTAAGACTGATGGGGTAGTTTCCACTGAAATTGACTTTCAACTGTCGATCGGAGCTATGAACGATAGATCGTATAGATACTATATATTAAATTTAAATTATTATAATTATCCATGAGATCAAAAGAAATTCTCGTGAAACAATTAACTTATTAATTATTCTAAATAATATATCTGATGCCAGTAATATTAGTTAATTTCCCAGTGCCAGGGAAAGTCGTTTAGGGTGCAAACAAAAAGCAGTAAGAGGCATCGTTATTTACGAGGCGGTATCTTTCGGCAATCGGCGGTCGACATAAATCTCGGGATCGGCCGTGGAACTCGCGGCAACGGGTTCCAAGGGCCGTTCGTTCGTCGCTCGATGCCAATCTAAATGAAATCTACGGATCAGACGGGTGAGCAGAGATCACGAAGCACACGACCGGACCAGAGGGGAGAGAACCGGTAGATTTTCTCCAAGATTGTGCGCACGCAATTACGCAACCAACGGGAAGCGCAATCACGCCGGTAGATCCGAGTTAAGAATCGAAGTTAACTGTGCTAGTTAAACCCTTTATAAATCTCTCAAACGTTCCTGCATTCCCCAATTTTTCTGCACCGATTACTGACACATACTGCAATCAATTGGATTATTTATTTGTCCGCCTAGAAATTGCATTACGAATCTCTCCAAGAAATCAAATCCTAGTGATTCCGAACCACCGTCGATTCCTAAGAACCGATATACTTATAAAATAAGAATAAGAATTGTTTATAGAATTTTTTAAGGCTGTATGGGTAGTGTATCTGTCCCACTTTACTATATTTCTCTCACTAACTATTTTCATTTAATAAATATTATTCCCAACGATAAAGTTATTCCTTATTTGATAGTACAAAAGGGTCAACTATGACACTGACTTTCACTAATTTGCTCCTTAAAATCTGAATATTTTGTAACAAGTTCAATTAATATTAAAGTATCTTCTAACTACGATTTTATCCTAAGCAAAGAATTTTCATTACCGGTTCGTTTAATCATTAAATTTTAGTTTAGTAATCTTGAAAATCGTAATTAGTTAAGACGAAACGATTACGGTAGACTGCAGAATGTATCCTTAGATCGGGACGTCGTTAAACCCCTTTGGAAACGAATTAGAGCAGCCAGAAAACATTGAGAAACCCTCGTAATCCTCGACTATCCTAATTCCAAGAAGCTGCCTCATCTTCGAAAACCTTCAATTATTTGAACGATACTTTGAAAGCGGCGGTTTTACATCCGACACACCGTTAGCCATTAAATAATCTTTACCTTGGACCTAAACTATCATCGCCGACGAATCAGGCGGAGGCAAGGGTAAAATACGGTTGCCTACGTGTTTTCGCGAACGGGATTAGCCTTTTTCGTGTTGGAGTTCGCTAACGAACCGGTCGCAAGAAGCTAATTCGATAATGATGCGTGAACAAATTGCACGGGATAACGGTGTAAAGCGTGCGGCCGCGGCTAACGCGCGCGCGCGACCGGTTCTCAAATGGAATCGACGAAAAGTTCGTCGCGTTTTTCTCGCTAGTCTCGATTAAAACGTCCGTTCGCGGTATTCACGTTCCTTTTTCACCGGGGGGAGAAAAAAAGGGTAATTGGAACGACACTCGATTCGATTGGACTGATAACAGTTGTTAATAAATTTCCTGCCAATTTAGTTTAGAAAAACCTGACGCAAAAACGTTCAAGTATTTCCGCTATTGGAGAACGAGGAATTTTTCACTCCCAATAGAGCAGTATCTTCCTTTAAATTCCCATTAACTTATTTTATCGTTAATAACGCATACACACAAACACATTCTTGTTTCATGTAAAAACTAATGCTGTTTATTTAAATAAAGTATAAGTTCGCGCTTCATGGTATAACGAACACTGAAGTGTCTTCGACAACGCGAGATACAGGGGATTTTATAGTAATTCTGAACACGCGTCGAGGCACGCAGAGAAACCGTGTAGGCCGCGGGAATCGCGCGCCAATGGAGAATCATATCGCGATTAAAGGCTCGTAGCTCAGTGAAAACGACAAGCTAACTTATCGCCGATTGGAAAGCACGTACGAGAGATAGCAGCGTTCGGTGGTGGGAACCGTGGACGGAGAAAAACTCTTCGGCTCGTTTAATTGGAATCCCCTATCACGTTCGAAGGGGTCGCCGATTAATTTCAGTAACAATTTCCTCTCTGCTGTTCCTGCGTCCGGAGACACTGCCTGATCGAAACACGCGCTACAAATTGCGTGACAATTTTCTAACCAGTCTCTCATAAGCGATTCATACAAATAATTATGCTCAGCATAAATGCATAAAATCTATAAATAATTTACGATGTTATGCAATTATTGTATTACGCGAATGTGCTATGAATTATTTTCGACTGAAAGTAAGTTTGCAATTAAATCATTTATTCGTTGAATTACCCGAACACAATTGCCTTTAACTTCTCATCTACGAGAAACGGATAAAAATCGGACAGAATTTTCGCACGGACACGGTCTGTCTGTTGCGTGGACACGCACTAACTGTTTTGTTTATGCTGCCAATTGTCACGACGAAATGGGTCAGGTACGATTTAACGCGGACGCGCGAATCATTCGTTTGAAAGAAGAATTGTCGACGGTGGCCCAGTTTCCATCCGCGATTCAATGAAACGTTGCATTGTTCGAATTAAAATCGAATCGCGTTGCCGGATCTCCTGCGATTGGCACACAATTTCTCTCCTTGGGAGTCGTGCGATTAGAGTTTACGTAAAAACCGATTCTTACGATACCGTCTCGCGTGAGAATAAAAGGAGTACGTAATTTTAATAATAGACTTTAAAAGAATGTAATTCTAATATTCAGATGCTGTAATAAATGATTTCTGTTCCATTTCCTTGGATTTATATATTGCATGAAATTATGCTCATTTATATGTGCATTATAAATGACGGTAAACATTTTTAGAATTATGTTAATTAATAAACTACGAGTATTCTAGGAGAGTGCATTCAGATAGTATACACGAACCTAGTTTCTCGTTGGTGCTCGCTCCCGCTCGTTCCTCGTGCTGATTCATCCTCCGCCTGGCCTTGTCCTCCGCTCGGAGTTTATCCCTGGTCGGAGGCGACGCGCTGCTCGCCGGCTGATCCCTGTAGCTCGACCTACCCTCGTTCGGCACGATCGGTGGCTTGTCCGTTAACGACCCGCTGGACACAGCCGTTGACGTCGACGTGGTCGAGTAAACGGTATTAGACACGCTCCCGTTCATAGACGAGGTGGTCGAAACGGGTGATAAGTAGCTGGAGCCGTTCTCCAAGGGTGTGCTAGCTCTTAACGGCGACGCATTGCTGTTCTCTGCGTTCCCGTTGCTCATCGCGTTGGTAGTCGTCGTCACCACGCTGCTGGTTACCAGGGATGGTGTGGAAGAGAATACAGAAGGGCAAAGCTCGTTGGAGACACTTGTCTCTGGGATCCACGTATTGCTGCGGGGCTCCGAGCGACAGCTGTTGAACCGGGGCCGAGGGGGATTCGGAGTGTTGCCTGCGAATGAAGAGGTTTTGGTGTTAATCGAGATTGTCTTTGAAGATAGGCCGAGGGGCGCGTCGCAGACGTGATTTAGGGGAGATATAAGGGACGCTTAATAGATATAAGGGCGTTAGGGGTTTCGGAATAACGTTTTAAGTGCCTCGAGTTAACAGCAATTAAACCTCAATCAAACGTATGAGATACAAGAATTATTATTAATTCGTACTTCATTTATTTGAAGAAATATTTGTGTAATGTGTTAACTATAACGATTCTATTATACGTATACACTTTAGTACGAAAAACTAGTTTGATCTGTTCGAGGACATTCAAGTGATATGATACAGTATAATCGATTACTTACTTCTTATCGTCGGAGTGACCTGAAGGATAGTCGTCTGTCCACCCGGGAACGTCGCGTTCCTCTTGTGTCGACCCTGAGGATTTATTTCATCTTCGATTACTCGCTTCTTCAAATCGAATTTCATCCACGCATTCTTCCATTCTTCGATCATTCAAACGATTCAACCAATAAAAGAAACAAATGTACGGAGCAACAGTTCTCACAATAAAATCGTCGCTAGCCTCGTTTGCATCGATTAAAAAGCCGCAACGATTACATTTTTTCGCGCAGCTGTATCGGGCACTCACGGTGGAATGCCGTAGAGAATTTGTATGTGGGCGACGGTACGAGGGCAGCCGCGTGCACGACCAGGTCGCGGTAGGCGGCCGCAATAACGGCAGATAACAACGACGCTGATAATATTCCACGGGGCTACGCTCTTCTCGGCGTGCATAATTCATAAGACCCGCGAGGCCCGTGTACGATGGGGCCCGATGCCGGACAAATGCGAACGTAAACGATTCAATCGATTCTGCAACGCGAGATCTTCTTACCATTTAACGTCTATTTCTTGATAATCCGACAGAATCTCGATGAGACAGGGAGATAACAGTGACTTGTTCCAAATTCATTAAAAAAATTATCAGAATTGATAAATTTTTTTATTACAATTATCTCTTCTTTAATCTACAATTTGTTGCAACATTAAATTAAGCTAGACTTTTAGGAAACAGATTTCTTGATGTTGGAGTGGATTGCAAGATGCATATATGAATAAGAATTTAATTTTAATTTTCATTTCGACCGAGAAATGCAGAGATCTTGTTTAACGAGGAGAAGCTGATTGAACAGGTGTTGTTCTCGAATCAGGGACAAATCTCGTTCCATCTCATATCGCACGAAGTCGCTTTTACGAGAGACGAGAGAAAATAGAAGGCACCAGCGGGCATTCACCGGTTTATTCGATCGTGTTGGCGTACGCACGCGTTGCCTTGGCCTCTTAACGTAATCGTACGTTTACACCGAGCTGCAGGTCCGCAACGTCGACGAGCAGTTTTCCATTTGCCGATCGATCATTCCTTGCGTAATAGACTGGACGCGATTGGTTGAACAATGGACCACCGATCCAGGAGCGATCGATCGGTCTTGACACGATCTCAAAATCGAAAGCGATGATACTCGCTGTTATAAGTAGAGACATTTTTGTACGAAACATTTGCGATGCCAATTCGAAAAATTAATCTTTAAGACTTAACAATTGGACTCTTGACTTTCATGTTGCAACCTGCTAAATTATATTCGTTTTATTATATTTCTTCTCTCTCTGTTCTTATTCTCCACCTTGAAAGGGCCGGCGCTGAATGAAATTAATTCTGGCTGCGATTTTCGCATAACCGCAGGGCAATAATTCGTAGATTTAAAAGAACGTTCTCTGATTTTTATCTACGCGATGGAGAATCGTCGCTACTCTCCCATCGATCATCCGTTGCACAACGGCTCTGTTGTCGAGGACCTAAGCAACACTGCGAAATGACAGCCTCTCCTGACGCGACGACAACCTACGGGATACTGTACAGTATACGATCCGCGAACCCCGGTCTATCGAGCGATCGCGAAACGCGTAGATCAGATAACATCAACGAGGCTCTTTTATTGTTATCGAACCTCGACGTTAATTCAACGGCGGCGTACACGCGTTAACTATCCCTCGCAATCGCAAAGGACAACGCGCTCCGTTCGTGCAGCAATTATTCAACATAATTGCGGCTTTGAGACACAGTGAAAGGATAGAAGAACAGAAAGTGTGTCGCATCTTTCCGATCGAACATTAATCACGTCGTGCCAATTAGTTTTATATAAAGAACATATACACTCCCGTCCATAAATCGTCGGGCATTTAATAAAATTTGAATACCGGCATACATTATGGAATAAAAAGTAGTGGTTATTAAATATTTATAATGTATAGAACACTTAAATCAAGTTGTATGTCCGAGAACTTACTGAAAGGATTGGCGACGCGGTACCCACAGAGCAATTCTCAAGTGCCCACCGTTGAAACATTTAGATTCTAAATTTTAGAGTCTAAAATTGAATACAGAATTTAATGCCAGATTTGAAAAATTCTACGAATTGGAGGCGTCTTAACATTCTATTATTAATCCTTTCTCTTATACAGAGAACGATGTGACTAATAAAATCGCAATATATGACGATGTTTCCAATAAGGAGAAACCAGAAAATTGTATTCACGTTTTAATAAACGACCTTGGACGGGAGTGCACGTATAAAGATATTGTAAGTAAAACTGAAGAATTGCAGGTAACGCATAAAATAAGCAGACTATTTTTTCATGATATTAATGTTCGATGAAAATGTTCGTCGTTTAATTAGACGTAACTGAGCAGGCTGCATTGTAGCGTCGCTTGTGCTCATAATCTCCAGGGCTCGTTTTCCTTCCGAGGAGTTACTGGCGTTAGTCGATAAGAAACCGGGCGAAGAAGAGGAGGAAGAAATCCCGGGTGAATCGTAGAAAAGCGAACGCAAACGGCGTGGCGCGGCATTATTTTGAGCTGTAACGAGCGTGACACTGCGACAGCGCCCCGCTAATGATCGAGCATTATCGCAGTTTTGCCGAGTTCGTTTCTTCGTCTATTTCTCGTTTTCCTGCACCATCGTTTGCCCCTTCCACGCGAAGATCGACTCGACTCCACCGAGATAATTGAGAATTAAATGTCTTCTTGTCTTGGTTTGTTTCTGCACTTTTGTAATAATAATTATTTCTGCAATACCACAGTACCGTTTTGTTTACGTCGCTGGAGCAACGAATGATTTCCTCGCAATTTCACACGATCATCATTAAGAATTTAGATGCGGTAGGTTAATGGCGATCGTATATGAAAGTATTAATAAGTAGAGACAACTGAAGTGGAACATTAAAAGTTTTATCGAGACAATTTCGCTGATGGGAGTAAAGATAAGTATCATTGAATAGGTGATGGCTCGAATGGCAGACGACAATTAAGCGATACCTAAACCGCTATCACGGAATATCTAATAATCTGCGGGCAACAATCAAGATTGTATCTCGAGTAGAACAAACGACCGAGACTGTTCATTAAATCGATTATACCAAGTCGAACATCCGGTTTCAAACCTGAATATAAAGACAACCCCCATGTGGCCGGCGTAACGCGTAAAGGACTTGAAAACAAAAAGCGTACAGTTGGTACTTCGAAACCGACCATTAAATCGCGAGCAAAAACTGCGAGGAGGAAAGTCTTCGGATCCCTCAACCTAATCATTAGACACTTCGATTCTTTCACTTCGAACATTCGGTTCCGTAATCAAACACTACGGATATAATCTGCTGTCATTCGTTGTCACCGATGACAACGTTGTCCAACAATTACATAGAAGCGATTTATTTTCATGGTACTATGGAAATCCGATAGAGAAAAACTGGTGGAGACTCAATTTTTCTTTTAAATTAAAGGCAAAGTATCGTTTGCATAAAACCGTTTATAATCGTATAAGCAAAAGAAATATCTAAGCCTTTTCTTCTAATTTCAAGTATGCTTAATTTACATTGAGTGAGAATAGAGTCACACTTGTGACAGGCCAAGGTAAAAATTTACTATAATCCCCCAATTGAGACACGTCCCTGATGATTATTAATTCGGAATACTCATCAGACATTTTGATGGACAATAAGCAACGTCCTAAAACTCGTGAACGGAGTTGTATATGGATGCTTATACGAAGGAAATGAGCTGAAATGATGGAATTCGCGTGGGCCGGGGTCTTTAAACGGAAAATCCGCGGGCGGGCGTCGGTTGTCACGATTCGTTTCCCGCGTTTGAACGCGATCGGCCGTTCGGAGGTGCGCGCTTATTAAAGCTATTTCCGCCGGTGAGACAAGTCGACCCGACTGGTATTACCGGCAGCAGCGTAACGAGCATGACGCAGAAGGATGTAGTAATGATTATGCGAGCACCGTAATCAACGAATGACAGCGGCCCCGTCAGCGTCACTTCTTTTTCGCGGCGCGGGGAGCACCGGCCCGCTTCGCTCTCCGCTCGTCAAACGTGTAATTCCACGCTGTTCGAACGCGCCCCGGCTTATTTGCGATTCGACAGAAATTAAATTCCGCTACCGTGAAACGTTTACCGCGGGATAAGCCTTCCGTGTTTTTTGTTCCACGGAATTGTGTAACCGTACTATGGAAATTAGCCATCGGCTTCTTTTCATATTATCTAATTAAGTTGATCCATACAAACAGGGTTACACGATTATACTGATATTGAAAAATGAAGAATAAAAGCTAAGAGTACTATCAACATTGCTGTTGTTGCTAAAATAGTCTACATCGAATTATTCATAACTAGAATGTTTACACAAATTTCTATTCTCATAAATAAAA